TTGTTGTAATATATAGACGTTTAGCACTAAGTATTAGAATGTAGCGGTATACTCCGTGTTTTTATATCCTCTAGACCTCTTTTGGTCTAGAGGATATACATTTGCATGTAGCTGGGCAGGAATATGCAATAAAGATTCATTAAATAAAACTGCAAATATATATATTCTTTCTTCGACTTTCTCGCTCCGAAGTTCAGGTTTAGAAGCAAGTGAACATGGAGTATATGGTAAAATTCCTCACCCCATTTCATGGCACCAGTTGGAAACTTTTTTCTATTTCTTAGATGCTTCTGCACCGCTAATTTTTTACAATCAACATGGCCCCTTCCTTCTAAGCCATGTCTTAGTTTTCAACACTTTTCATTAGCTAATTTATAGGACATGTCTGTTGATTTTACAATCGGCAGCTGGTTAGGCGTTCTTCTCCTTAACTTATCATTTGTGATGTCATCAGCTTAGCGGAAAGAAAATCATAATCTACAATCTGGCGATCTTGTAGATTCTTTAAGTTCACCAAAAATTAGTACAGCTACAAGCTACAGGACTAGACTCTCTCAGAATGTATGAAGGTGCAAAAAAATACTTCTTGGGGTGCGTGTGATTGTTTTTACACCTGAAGGTGTCTTAAAACTCTCCCGTCGGAAATAGATATAACAAACACATAAGATTGTGTTATATGTATTTATAGCTGTTCTTACTTTTGTTAAAATTCATTTCAACACAGCCACAACAATGCCCAGAGCGGCAATTTATCATCTCTTCAAAGTTTTCGATTAAGAATCCCATTCGCACGATTTTATCCTGGTATCAAAAATTGCAAATGTTTAAAAGTTGTTTGACGTTGTTTGAACTCTATGTTGATATTCGCTGTGCTCGAATGCGCTACGTCTAACATAGAAACAACGCATCGTTAAACTCGTACCAGTGTGGGTAGTATATATAAAGAGGTTTCTAATTTGAGGGATTAGCTGCTGACGGGATGGTTATAAAGAAATATGAGGGAGTTTGTACACTTAATGTTGCGCCACCTGGCGGGATGAACGTGTGACAAATGGTTTATCTTTCACTGATTAATGATGATCAATGAAAGAGACGGAATTATTCTATAATATCGCAGTGTTTTGTGAAGTAGATTTATGCCATAGTGTCTTCATGAGCCCCCTTCTGGGATTAGTGAATAAAATAATACATCATGGATGAAAGTTGGAATGATAGTTACAGGAGGCGCAACGTTTAATGGCGTATATATGCGTACTAGTACTGGTGAGGCAGTTGGTTTGAGGCGCAAGAGAAGCGCATGCAAAAAAGCAAAAAATATAGTATAACGGTAATTATACTTAAGAACAAATTAAAGCAATCACAGGGAGATAGAATACCGCGTGTTCTTACCAATTCCATATTGTGTGGCCCTGATCACACTTATCATATATACACTGCGTACTTGATGAGTGTTGGGGTACTACAAATGACAACTGGACTGAGAACGTTCGACACTTAAAAATTTTGCTGGGAATTTTTTTTTATGTTGCTAGACTGTTAACATGCCAGTATTATATGCTATTTATATTTCTATCCATCATATAATCATTTGTGTCTAAGCGTTTTGTGCTCTATTTTCTATAGGCGCCTCTGACTCTAGGTACAGGTGTCTATTTTGAAGTCACTACATCTAACTCGTTCTTAGTTCCTCATGAAAACCCATTTTATTCTGCCTTCGCTGCATTGATATTCTCAAGAAGTTGCATATTTGGAAGGGTAGTACCATGGTACGGCTCAATTTGGGTATTTTGGTGATGATATTAATTTTGATATCTACAGGAAGTTCTCGCATGGTGCAGTTTGGCGCTACCTCGCCAGATGACCCTTTCGATCAGTCTATAGATGTGCATCGAAAGCAACATATGCTTTGTCAGAAAGAAGTCAACAAGTACTAGCCAAATGAGAAATAAGCAAGAGGAAACAGTAGCAACAAATGCCCTTTTTATCACATGCGTTTGTAGCCTTATACCTAGTCATTTTTAATGTATGCAGACTATGCATATCATACAAGTATGCGCCTACCGTGTAAAACCTAAAATGCAGCAGCCCATATTAGGTAAACATAGCACTTCATTCCTGAACACCAGATTCTAATAATTTTGTTGATATAACATGTGCCATTTCGAACTAAACCGCAAATTGTAAGAAAAAAAATTGGTATCAATTATTTCTTAATCTCCATTTATGTGATATAAATTGGTCTAGAGGGTGAGGAAAATCTTTCAGGACTTGAAATGGAGACATTTCAGTCTCGGCAACAAATTATCTGCCAGGTTGTGTAACCACACTACAAGATGGCGGAAACCGGGAAGGTGTTGTTTCGTGAGGCGTGGTTACAAAACAACTTCCCGGACTCCGTAAGGACCGACGCGATCACCGGCGTCTGGGACTTCTTAAACGCGGTAAGGACTAGATATCTACTGTTTCCTTGATTATAAGATACGTTTATCTCCAATGGCGGGCGTTTGACGCAAGCTGTAGTCGTGTCATGTCATGATCATGCGCCAAACATTTTAATCATACATACGTGAGAGTGAGACTACAAGTATTTTGTGAACTTTCCTGATCAAATCAACCCTTGATGCCCCCAACTATGCTACATATTTACATCTTAAGACCTGAGATTGTGCACAACTTTGTGTTTGGAAAGCTTATGGGCGTGACGTTACGCTGTGTGTGGTAAAATGACAATATGAGGGGGGAGGGGCAAACCAAACCGTGAAGTGTTCATAGAAAAGCCACAGACTCTCAGAGGATTTTGTTTGTGTTTACGAACGGTTTAACCTCACCAGGGCTGATTACATACAGCTGCAGACGTTTCTCAGCTTTGAAACTTGATATGAGTGAATCTTCCCGCTGTACACTCATTATTTGTCAACATGTTGCACTTGTAGAATACATGTATGTTCAACTATGGAGCTGATGTACGGTTGTTTGTTTGTCATGTTTGTTGTTGTTGTTGTTGACAGATTGATTGGAGCGAACCATGGCTGATTGGACTACAGGTGTTCCACGCCTTCTGTTTCATCCTGACTTTCCTGACAAGAAAGCACATCAACCTGCAATGTGCCCACTTCTGTATTCTCTGTAAGTATCTACAGTACCATCTTTTCACTGGGTTTGGTTTTTATAACATCAAAGGTACAGAAATGATGCCTTGGCTGAACAAGAAGTCTTGCTCATTTCAGTAACAAAAACACTTACAACATTCTACCCTCAGGGATGCAATAGTTTTGAAGTCTCAGTAATTACTGGTTATCAAATTCCCCTGCTTCCATTTCCAACATTTTCAAGAAGCAGGATTTACTAGGATGACTGCATGCATTAATGTTTTCATAGTGTAAACAAAAGTTATTAGATCCATAATTTTAATAAATAATTTCATCAGGTTGGTAAACGAATGAATAGCAAAGTTCTTTGATCGAAACCATTTATCGTGAAAAGTAAATGGTTGTGATCAAAGAACTTTGCTATTCAAAGTTATTAGATGTTTAGGAATGAGTTGTTTTCCATGCATCTTCTTGTCAGATAAGCCCCCCAAACGCACAACCATTGTTATAGTACCGGTATGTATTGTAGCCCTAATCGCACTTTAATCACCCCCCCTCTCCCCCTCAACAACAAAACTTCATATAATCTGTTCCTAATGGCTTCCCATATATTCTCATTTGTTGGTAGGAATAAGATTTGGCAGGTCAGTTGCCCCTCTTTAAAGGACATCTTTTTCTTGTTCCCAGTGCTTCTTGCATATTCTGCGCAATACATCAATGAATGGGCATCAACCAATTACAAGTAAGTGTTTCTTCCTTGGTGGTGTTGTCTTGGGAATAACTAGTTCATAAGGATACTTGAAATTCAACACAATTCGATAGCAATAGCCAAGTCAGTTGGCTATTGACTCTTGCAAAGGGACTAAATTTAATGGTCTGTCAAGTTGTTTGGTGTAACATATCCAATCACTGTGGCATGCTAGCCTGCATTACACAATCGCTCACTAGCATTTCTGTTAAGTTTTGATTGTCTCATTTCAAGTATTTTTATCTCTGATTGCTGTTTTGCTGTTCCAGGCTTTTCTCCAAGCTGCAGTACTTTGACAGCAGCGGGCTGTTCATCTCCCTGGTGCTGTCCCTGCCACTGTTGCTCAACTGTCTCATCATTGTGGTACGG